CATATAATGAAAAAAGTGTATCGTTCTATACCTTCATTCATAATAATATCGGGATTTACTAAAAATGTGAAAGGTCGAAAAGCTCAATGGCCCGGCTTTCTAGAGAATTGAATACAATTGTCAGGTTAATTCTGCAAATCTAGAATTGGTCGGAATAAGAAAATAAGTTGAATATGCAATTAGGGAATAAAAGAAAAATGTAAATTAAATTCGGAATCATTAAATTAAAAGAGCCTATTAGTTAACGAAAACAAAATGCATGTAAAGGAAACATTTGCAAGTAAAAATAATTAAAAAGTAAATATAAATAAGAAATAGCAACGTAATATGTTTCTTCCATGCATTGCAATTTTCTAAAATACTGGAGTGAAAATAGACAAGTATACTTCATAAATATTCTTCTCCTCAAGTTTTCTTAAATTCTTATGCATATGGTGCCGTCCATCAATTACGAAACGCGAATTTTGAGTATTTTGAATACCCGCTCTTCCCCTGTAACGAACCTGAACGCGCGTTCTATCGCCCCTAAAATACAAACGCGTGCGATCCCTCCTTATTTACAATACCTAAAAATAAAATATAGAGCATTAAAATAATTTGTATTAATTTTATTTGTGCTAAGTTAAGGCTGTATTAAAACGTATGGCATTTAATGTCAGAATCAGTTGGCGATGCTGACTGCTTCTAATAAGACAGGGGACACTTTTTGTGTGAAGCCAGAAGACCTAGGTGAAGATCTATCCGACTGACCCTGCAGACGTCGGCGTGGCGGACGCGTGGGCGAGAGAGTGCATTGTTCCGATTTATTTGGATTCTCAAATAAACTACAAATCTGTGTTCAATATTTTCTTCGTAATGTAACAGGTTCAATCAATATAACCTTTGCGAAAAAAATATTTCTATTGATGAAAACAATTTATACATCACAACGCTTTAATTTAATGTTTTAATATACTTTGTTAATATATTAATTTTTTAATATAAGTCTAGATAAAAATTAATATTTTAGCAATTGATGAACAAAATAAATATCAGCCTTACGTAACACTAAACTAACACCCCTGCTACATCTATTAATGCAAAGTAACGTTACATCTAACCCCCTTCCCTTCTCTTTAACGTTACGTAATTTATAGACGACCCCTATATGAGGCGGTACGTTTTATTCACGTTTTGAATTTTACGTATTTTTAAATAACTTACTGAAGAAACATTGGTGCAGTTCATCGCACTCTTTTTTTGATTTTTTCAGAATTTAGAGATATGTTTTTGAAGTAAAAACTTAGATGATGCTACAAAAGAGAATGCGCTATGTTAACATATTAAACCAAAACTTTATTTTAAATTTTAGATCTGGCTAATTAACATAAGAACCAACGAAAAATAGTCTAAAGCTAGTTCTATAGTGTAAAGATGTAATACCTCCTTGATTCAGGAGATGTAACAACAGAGGCTTATTCAGGTATTCCTTACGATAATAAGCAAAAACCAACTTTCAGTACATTCTGATATTAGCAACTCTACAACTCTGCGGCAAAATTTAGCATCTAGATACCAATCCATAACAGAGGAGCTCGTTCAATCATCATGCAGCTTTTCATTGGCCCAGCACGGAGGTCCCAGCGACAGCTCTCCCTGGAGCGGAGTACTGAAGATTTATCTGGCAAACTCGAAAGTTTCGAATGATCATGCCGTCCATGGTGTAGATTAAACTTACCAGGGCCAACTACTGATAGTGTTCACAATCCAAGAAGGTGATCATGAGAATATGTATTGTGCATCTGCGGAGCACCAAAGCAAACCTCGTCTCATTGAATATTTGAATGTTCGTTGTGACCATATGAACGGGTTAAAAACGTAAATTTGGAGTTAAATGTTGACAAACTTCCTTGTATTTTATCATAAATTCGTACATTGAAGTAAAAAATAAACGAAGAATTCAGAAAGTAATGTAATACTGCCAAAAACCGATTTCGAGATTTCTATTGAAATACAAGATTTGGGGGCCCCTGTTTACCGAAACCTTTTTTTACTTTCTACCGTCTCTCGGTAAGGATCAACACTAGCGCAAAAACGTAGGATTGTTTCCAAATTGAATATTCCCAGGTCGATCTGACCCGGCTAAATGTCCTGCGATTCTGAACTATCTTTTTCTTTAAAGTACTAAGAACACAGTGAAATTCACCTGTAATGGTGACATACGTCATATTTTCACTTTTAACACTAAATTTCGAAAATTATAAATATTTGAAAATATTTTGGCATTTATCAACTTGAATATTCTAAAAAATGGAGTAGTTGAGATGGTGCTAAATTCACCGTTCAAAGAGTCATGTTCCAGCATTATTTTGTTTTTCAAAAAATACACAAATGTATTTTTTATATCTCTCTAACGTCTTTACAATTTACACTACCGGTTGAATTCAAATTATTACATTTGCGAGTACAAGTACTTCAAATAATGTTTTTAACATTTTATCTAAAATAACAAACTTTTCTGTGAAAATGAACTCATATTTTCGAATTTTCAAATTTTCTCAAAAAGAACTCCAAGTGGTATTTTGAACTTTTTTCAGATAGTGGTAAATGCACCTAATAATATGACACTAATGCTGTGTGTGAGAAAATTTCAAAATGCGGAATTTGTTGAACGATTTGAATTCCTGTCTCATTGTGAAGGGAGAATACCTCCCCCAGAGCCGTGTGATTGGCGGACATCTCCGAGCTTAGTAGGGGAAACAAACGTATAAAAGCGAACAGTCCCGCAGACACAGCACCCACACTCTCCACCGCTCTCTGCATCTGTACATCAGCTCCTCTGCCACTCCAAGGTAAATTTGAAAATATATTCTATTTGCTACAGAATTTGACTTTGTTTCAACTGCTGTTCAAACTGTCGTTTTTTCTTCTTACAATATTGATTCAAAGTGGGTCTGATATTTCATTCATGAT